ATAAACTCAACCTGGTATTGGAAAGTTGAGCTATGTTCTTTCTACCTCTTATGTCACTAATAATAAAGATTTTGCTTCTAGAATTTGGTTGATAGTTTTGCTAATGTATGAAAGAATGGAATCCAGGTGTACTGGGTTTGCTTTTTAATAGTGATAGACTTTTCCTTTAAGGTGTATCCGTGTTTGATTTTCACCCCTGAGTCTCAGTTTCTTACCTCAGGACATAGGGAACTCCCCAAGCTTTTAAAGGGTTTTGGCATGTAGCAGTAGTATCTTTCTTTGCTGGTACTATTCAGGTTACTTAGGGGCTCAACATCTAAAGGTCATTTTTGGTCTAAATTGTTTCTGTGGGCTTCATGGCGAAACAGTTTTCAGATGGTTTTTATTTTTAAAGTGGTTTAATTAATTCAGACTTTTGTGACATAATGCATGTGTGGATTTCTAATGCCCTAATCTGAAAATATTAAAGTATAATTTTCAATGTTGAATTTATGGATTTGATTCTCTTCTTTAGATTCACATAGCCCTTTTGCTCAACGTTTTCAAACTAAAACTTGTTTTAGATTTAAAAGTTAGCACAGTCTGTGACTAAAACATCAGTGTTCTGTAGAAAAAGGACCTCTTATTAAATTAACTTTTCCAGGTTGTGAATTGGGTCTCTTAATTCTTTTCATTAGCGTATGCAGTCAAGAGTGAATTACTGGATGTGACACATCCAAAAAGCTGAAATTTTATTGTTGCTAGCACTTTGTATAGACTGTTGCATGTTGAAATCTGGAAACTTGAAATGGAACTACAATTACTGTGCATTCAGCATCTACCTTTCCCAATACCTTTTTCTACAATAGAAGCAAAACTGGTAATCTGTTACAATAGGATTTCAGTGAAACTGTTTTATCAACTACAAAAGTGACACTGAGTAATAGTGGTAGTAGAAGTTTACCATATATGTCCATTGATATCAGAGCCATTATGCTGTTAATGAAAAATTATAGCTTTAAAAGAAAACCACCCGATTTGTTCAGTCCAGAAATCTAAGTTCAAGTGGTAAGAAACACTTTTCACTATGAACACACTGCAAAATAAATTTCATAAGGGATATCAGACCTTATGCTCTAGGGTATGAGCTGATTGCTATCTGAAGTGGGAAGCAATATTTACCCCCAATATAGAGTAGTGCACAGACTGATTCTGGGTGAAGGGAGAGCATTCTTCTCTGAAGCATCTGTTTTAAAACAGTCAGAGATAGGACCATCCCACTGGTCCTATCATCTGTTCTGTTTATGCAGTTCGTATGTTCTTAATTTGTTAGTGCATTTGAAAATGTTACTGACTCAGATTTCCCCTTTCAGAAAAAATATGCATGTTTGCTAATCAGTAGAAGTACTGTGTAGCAATAACACATTTATAGCATCCAAAACTCTGTTTTCTTAAAAGAAGTGCTGAAGTACTGTATTAAGTATATACTTAATATGTATCTATTATCTTTTCAGTGCCTTGTGCTTCTCAGTCATACTTTGCTGAAGAAGTTTGGTTATTACAGGATCATCTTGTTTTCCTTTTACTTAGAAGGAATAGCTGCAGCTGTCATGTTTGTTCTTGGACCAGAACACTACTACCTGCTAGCTGTTTATCTCACGACAAACATGTAAGTAAATATATACCTTCAAGGATACTATTTAAAAAAAAATTAACAGCTTGCTACGCCTTGTGAAAGGAGTCTGTTAGGTAACTTTGTTTTTCCACTTTTTGTCATACCCTTTTGGTAGCTTGAAGAATTTCCGACTATGAGTTTTGCACTTCTCCTTTTGTTCTGTTTCATGGGTCTGAAAAGGAGCTGCAATTAAAATGGCAACTCTTGTTTAACAGTGTTTCAACTTTTAGTTACTGCTTTTATTTTCTTTTAAAAACTAACAATCTAATAAATACAATAGAGTTTGCAACATTGTCTCCAGCCACATCAGTTTTAACTTTGTCAATGGAATCTGCATTTGACTACAGACTTTCCCGTTTACCCAGACAGCAGTTTCCCACCACTTCTTCAAGTAGTGTCCCTATCTGTGGGTATGTCTACACTACGGGATTAATCCGAATTTAGATAATTCGAATTTGGGAAACAGGTTGTATAAATTCGATTGTGCGCGGCCACACTAAGCACATTAATTCGGTTTTTAACCACATTAATTCGGTGGTGTGCGGCCACACTACCCCATTAATTTTAACCACATTAATTCGGTGGTGGCGGCCACACTAACCCTAATTCGAATTAACAAAATCGATTTTGGCGCTACTCCGCTCGTCGAGGTGGAGTACAGAAATCGATTTAAAGCGCCCTTTAATTCGAACTAAATGGCTCTGTTGTGTGGACGGGTGAAGGGTTAATTCGAATTAACGCTGCTAAATCCGAATTAATCCCGTAGTGTAGACCAGGCCTGTGTTCCCACTGTAAGTGTATCTGAGTCCCTGTGCCTCAGATTGGAGATTTTAAGCAGCAGTGTCTGTTTGGCCCACACATGTGCTCTCCCTGTCTCGTGCCTTGCCTCAAGGCTATGCACGGTCGAACTACCCTCAGTGCCTTCTCAACCGCCCTTGGCCTGAGACTGAGTACTAGCAGAGTGCAAGAGAAATTCAGTTCTAAACCTTATTTTGGTTTACAGAGTAGCTAGTAGAGTTTCCGTTATTTAGATTCATACTCTTCCCTTTCCCTTTTCCTTTAATATTGAAAAAATAAAAGATTTTAGATCCCTCCACCCCACGAAAATGCTGGCAATTCAAGTGACTGTTGTCTAAACAACATTAAATTTGTTTTCTTTGGTACTGCTAGAGCATGAAGCCTTAAGTTTATTTCACAGATCAGGTAGATCTGTGAGGTGTGGAAAACCCTCAAAAGGAAATGCTTCATTAAACATTGTTAAAAACAGCCTTCTCAATTAGAATAGTATGGTATTAATTTCATGGTCTTCCCTTCCTACCTCGCCTGTCCTCTTTGTATATATTTTCTTTCTCTTTCTTCACCCCTTCCCCCCGCCCCTCAGGATTTCAGTCATGGACTATTGTAACTAAGAACTATGTGACAACTGAGTTACATTATCTAGTAATATATTTTCCTCATTTCAAGTATTCAGGTTTCCTTAGAAAAAAATCTCTCAAGATATGTGAAGGTTATTTAAATATTAGCTGCTAGCCCAAAAAGGACTTTTGTAATTTGAACCTAATTTTACCAAAACTTAGCAATATATGCAAATCTATCATCCTGTTTATTGTTTCATTTATTGGTCATGTGTTAAATGTATTTTTTTACCTTTATCATTCTAATTGTGTCACTTATTTTAAGTTTGTTTCCTATCTTTTCCTTCCAGTCCTCTGCATGTCCTTTTTCAGATTTCTAGAGGAGAATTTTAGTTCTTTCTTCTGCGATGTTCCTTTTCTCCATTCAAGTCAGTTTAAGTTGGTATTAATAACCTCAATAAGTGTCTATCATCTTTCACTTCAATGCCAAGCTACTATCTTGAAATTCCAGAAAGAGTTGAGAAAGTTTTTTAGGTTTGTATACAGGTTTCTAATTCTTGACTAAAATAACAGCTCTAATATTTATTTAGAGAACTGATCTTTAAATAGACCTAACAGCCATTTTTAATTTGAAGTAATAATACTGTGTTAATTTACATGATGAGAGAGTGAGTGTGTGTGTGTGTGTGAGAGAGAGAGAGAGAGAGAGAGAAATACACAGACGCTAAACCATCCATTACAGTTTTCTTATTGAGAAAAGTATGTTTAATATCTATCAACATTTTGAAATATTTTGTCTTTCTATAGGGTAATTGTTCAAGCGTCATTCAGTTTGTTTAATCTGCCCTTGGCAGATATTGTTGATGCAGACTTAATAAAACACAAACGGAGGTATGTTGATCTTACTACTGCTCACAAAATGTATTGTAGCTAGTGTCCTCAAATTCTCTATACCAAAGTTAAATTTTCATACACTAAACACTCTGAACATATTAATCTAAAAGGATTCTTAATTCAGTAAAAAAAGTTTTCTGTTTTATTTTAAATTACAACTATTTTTAAGAAGGTTTCAGAGTAGCAGCCGTGTTAGTCTGTATCCACAAAAAGAACAGGAGTACTTGTGGCACCTTAGAGACTAACAAATTTATTTGAGCATAAGCTTTCGTGGGCTACTTTATATTTCACTTTATATTTACTTCTAATATGAGAAGTGAATGGGAATTCATTATTACTGTACATTGCTTTAAATCTTTTGAAATTTTATCCGTTATTTAATAACTTTTTCCTAGATTATGTCCAAATAAATGCAGAAAATATTGTGACATTCTTTGGCTTCAATCCTGCAAGCACTTACATTAAAGGCTTAATTTACACACACAAGTAAAGGTAAGCACATGCATAAATGTCTGCAGGATTAGGCCCTGAGTAACTTTAACAAAGGAATGAATTTAAACAACACACCAGATCACTTCCATTGTGAACTCTATTATATTTATAAGAGCCCAGTCCCACAAACATTCGCATGGTTAGTCCTGTTAACTTCAGTAGAAATACTCCCATGCCCATTATTACTCAGAGGCTTAAGAGTTGGCAGGATAGGGCCTTTCTAATATAGAGAAGGTATTTGAATGTTTGAACTATACCACTTAACAAGTAAAATTCAAAGTTGTTGTAGCTGCCATTCAATTTTTTAAATAAAACTTGCTGTGATATGCTGTACTGTGATTCATGTACCTTTTGGATTTATATCAAAGTGCAACTAACTTCTTGTTGCTCTTACAAATATACTGATTTTTATACCAGTGGGGTTTCTGGTTTCAGTGCTATTTGAGGGGGATAAAGGGAATCAGGCTCCCTCTAAGGCCACAATCCGGCAAAGACTAAAGCACATATATTACTTTATACCTGTGAATAGTTCCATTAGCTTCAGTGGGACTATTCCAACACATAAAATTGAACCTGGGTATAAATCCTTGCAGGATTGGGGTCAGTGTCTATGTAGACCACATCTCATAAGTGTTACTAAAGAAAATTCAATGTACCTGGAAAGTGCAGTGGTGTAACTTAGAATTTTAAAATATTCTTGATACAACGTTTCCCCGACTGCCCAGTCCATATACAAGACTTGAAATTATTCTGAATAACAATCAGATTGCTTTGTTTGAAGAACATTTAATACAAGAAGAGCAATTGACTAAATTAGTTTCTAGTACCAAATCACGTCTTTTACAAAGGTAAGTTTATCCTATTTTTCTCTTGTTAGTATGTAATTGCAACTCTTGAGTCACCAGACTATGGGCCTGATCCAAAGCCCATTGAAGTCAATGTGAATCCTTCAGTTAGCTTCAGCGGGCTTTGGATTAGGCCCTGTGACACTGTTCTGTTAGATCCCTGATTATTTTATTTATGGTCAAGTAAGGTAGTTGTGGGGACCTAAGATAGTATAAAAGGTATGTTTATAGATTTAAAAAAAAAAAAACACTGTACTTATCTAACTGGAATGTAGTCATTTCAGTATGATATCTGAACCATTCACTGACTAGAATGTTGATGGTAAGTATGCAATTTGTATCCTGACCGTTAATATTTGAGTCTGAACAGTACTTAAATAATGAACATAATAAGTGCTGTAAGTGATGTGTGTTTATATACTGTGTAATATGGATTAATACTTGTCTTGAATATTTCAGATCTCCACTTTCCTCCATGGTTTTTGGTACCAATGCTTTATTTACTAAGCCTGCCCAGTCTTTGGCTCCTATGCTTGTGGTTACAATACTAAATCAATTTGGATATGAGAACCTGAATAATAAATTTTCTCAGCCTGATCCAAGGTGAGTTCAAAAGTGAAGTTTTAAGTCACAACAAGTGAAATAATGTTACACAGTTATTACAAATTACACCTCTACCCTGATATAACGCGGTCATCGGGAGACAAAAAGTCTCACCACGTTATAGGTGAGACCGCGTTATATCGAACTTGCTTTGGCCCACCCTGTTCCTTGTTCCCTGACCGCCCCCTCCAGAGACCCCGTCCCTAATCACCCCCAGGACCCCACCCCCTACCCAACCTCCCTGCTCCCTGTCCCCTGCTCTGCTTCCCGCCGCCGGTGAGTGCGGGGAGGTTGGGGAAAGAACGGCCCTGTACTCACCTGCGGTGGGAAGCGGAGCGCTGCAGCTGGGAGCTGGCGGAGTAGAGTGGGCTGGGGCCAGGCTGCTCTGCTTCCTGCTGCTGGTGAGTGCTGGGAGGTTGGGGAAAGGACGCCCCCCCGCACTCAATTGCGGCGGGAAGCGGAGCGACGCGGCCCCAGCCCACTCTGCTTTCCTTGCCCCGGCCCCAGCTGTGTCGCTGGGATGGGGGGTTGGGGAAAGGTCCCGCACTCACCGGCGGTGGGAAGCGGAGCGCCGCGGCTGGGAGGTGGCAGAGTAGAGTGGGCTGGGGCCGGGCTGCTCCGCTTCCCACTGCCGATGAGTTCAGGGAGGTTGGGGAAAGGACTCCCTCCACACTCACCTGCAGCGGGAAGCGGAGCAACGTGACCCCAGCCCGCTTCACTCTGCCACCTCCCAGCCGCGGCGCTCCACTTTCTGCCGCACGTGAGTGCGGGGAGGTTGGGGAAAGGAAGCCCCCCTTACTCACCTGTGGCGGGAAGCAGAGCGCTGCGGCTGGGAGCTGGCAGAGTGGAGCAGGCTGGGGCCGGGCTGCTCCGCTTCCTGCCGCAGGTGAGTGTGGGGAGGTTGGGGAAAGGACGCCCCCCCCGTACTCACCTGCGGTGGGAAGCAGAGCGCTGCGGCTGGGAGCTGGCAGAGTGGAGCGGGCTGGTGCTGGACTGCTCTGCTTCCGCCGCTGCCGGTGAGTGCGGGGGGATCCCTTCCCCCAACCCCCCTCCCCCGAGCGACACAGCTGGGGCCGGGACGAGGGAAGCGGAGCGAGCTGCTCCCGGCCCCCCGCTAATGCCCTGGGCCACTCTGGGACTGCGGGGCCCCCAAAATTGCCCCCCCACACAGCTCCTGCCTCCTAGACCCTGGGGGGGGGAGCCCCTGACGGCTCCTGAGACCCTCTGCCCCTTATCCAACCCCTCGGGCCCGGCCGGGCCCTGCACCTTTAACACGCTGCTCTGCGTGTCAGAGCTTTACCGCCTGGTATGCGAACCCATGTTATATCAAGTCGCGTTATATCGGGGTAGAGGTGTAATATGCAGTTAGCTTGTATCAGATGTGTTGCAACTTGGCTTTAACAAATTTTCAATTGGTCTTCATCTACACTGACATAAAAATGCTGTCCAAGTAGATATTTATTCTGAAAAAATGTACTTTTAAAAGAGAGGACATGGGAAAACTTGCCACATGGTAGGTGTGTGTGTGTGTGCATGGGTGTGTGAAAAATTCATTTCAGTGCATGATTGTTTTTGTCATTCTGTTGTGCAAAATTAAAAAAGAGTCAAACCTGTGATGTTCTAACTTTGACTATAAGTGTTACCAAAACCACAAAAGTGTATTTATTTCATAAATATAGTTACTATACATATTTAGTACAGTAGGACTGTGACTAATGTATTTTGTTTTTGAGAGAAACAATACAATTATAGGAGGAAGAGGGGTTTGGCTCAACTAGGTAAATCACTTTGGTTAGAGTACAGTTTTCTATTCTTATCTTAATGGCCTTATCTTAGTTACTTTCTAAAATTTTACTTTAATTAAAGAAAACTTTTTAAAAAACACATAGAGGACAATCATTTATAAAACCTCCTTGGGGAAAGGTCTTTAAGGAAAAGAGAATGGAGATGTGGCCAATGTGTCTGGAACCCTCTTTCTGACCCTAATGGACTGTTGAAGAAAGGCATAGAGATAGGTTTGGAAGGACGACAAGCTGGGGACATTCAGAAAAGCAGTTTCAGCAAAGTGCTTAGGTACTGGTGAGCAAACTACGGCCCGCCAGCTGAATTAATCCGGCCCTCAAGGTCTCGCTGGGGAGCAGGGTCTGGGGCTTGTCCTGCTCTCATGCTCCAGCCAGGGAGCCCGGATAGGGACTGCTCCACACGCACATGCCGCGGCTCCCAGAAGCAGCGGCATGTCCCCCCTCCGGTTCCTCCTCCATGTAGGGGCAGCCAGGGGGCTCCACATGCTGCTCCTGCCCCAAGCGCCGCCCCCGCAGCGCACAGAGCCACTTGGCTGCGCCTCCACGTAGGGGCCGGAGGGGGACATGCCGCTGTTTCCGGGAGCTGCTTGAGGTAAGTGCTGCCCGGAGCCTGCACCCCTGAACCACTTCCATGCCCCAACCCCCTACCCCAGCCCTGATCCCCCTCCTGCCTTCCGAACCCCTCAATCCCAGCCCAGAGCACCCTCCTACAC